GCTCCTATCGAGATATTGAGATCCTACGTTCTTCACTTGCAACACAATTTTTACACCCCTTTCTAAGGCTATAACTTCCTTCATATTCGAGCTTCTGCGCCGAAGTGATTTGATTTGGAAAATTCAAATTATTCTCTCTCCAACCATGGGTAAAAATTCTTCGAAAGTTAATTTAATAAAAATTTAGTACGTTGTTACTTTTTTCTGTGCAAAGCGACTTTTTGACCTTCAAATGATCATAACTTCTTTCAAAGTCACTCATTTGGGAAGCTGAACACGTATAATAAACTACAGGTTTCAAGCTTTCTAACGAGCACCCAAGCGTTTCTGAAAGATCAGCAGTTCAAAAATTAGCCCGTTGTTACTTTTTATTTTGTGGGGTATTCTTCAAGCCATTTTCTCGAAAACGCGAGTTTTCTTAGGTTTCACTGCCCGTAACTTCTTGGAAGACCAATTTTATGTTTAATTAAGGATCTGCTAGAAAGCTCCGAGCATGCGCTTGCACTACATCCCTTGCCTTGGTGCGCGCCTCGGGCGCCCTTCTAATTCGCTGATTCATTTGAAAGCTCATTTAGAGGGAATCGTGGTTTATAGATGCTGTATCAGTCATCTTACGAAAACGTAACGTGCTGGCTATTATCCGATATTACCAAGAATCCCACTGTCGGCCACCGAGAGGGTACGACCCCCTCCCTCCAAGCTCACGAATTACGACCCGTGTTACTCTTAACACGTAGGGTGACCTGGCTCAACCATAAAAAGACTAGAGATCGAATTGTTCATTTGGGCGGTACCTTGGATCGTCCTCCTTAAGACCAACTTCGCATTTCACAACGGGTTCGATTCTTCTGAATTAGGCATGTGACAGTAATGCACAAGCCTCGTGTTTCAATCGATTTAAAGGCAAGATTCAGGATTGAATTATGAGGTAATTCCACTCAAATGTGAAAGTAGGGGTAGGTAGTGGACCGCCAGTGCAGAAAAGAGAAAAGAAATCGTGAAATGCAGGAAATACGAGCCATTTCCTCTACGGTGCGGAGAAGTTCAAAAGGCCGGCAGGGAGATGAGAGATAATGTGAGCGCGGAGAGCGCTAGAGAAGTCTAAGTAGAGAGAGCATAGCAGATCAACATTCCGACGCAGACAAGATATCGAGCGGTGGGCGGAGCGTGTCGCAGCAGGTGGAGCGTGTCAAAGTTCTTAGAGCCTAGCGTCTAAATAACGGTTTTCGAAGTAGGGAAGTGACGCGACCCCTACACTTGCGTACCTAGCGCTTCTAGCCACCGTAAGCTCTTAAAGAATTTGCGGAAAAATCATGATTCTATTTCAGCCATAAATCACTGGCTTGAGACTCATTATCCACGATAATAGTGAAAAGAACTGAAGTATTGCTTTCGTTTTGATTAGAAATTCGAAAACTCGAAAAGGCTGCTACGCGTTCGAATTGCCCACGGACGTCTTTCACGAATGCTGGCGACGGGGATGCTCAAACTTGGTTCTTGGAGTGCATTCACTAGAAGCTCTTTCTGGCCTTCTGCTTCGTTGCATTCACATCTTACACTTCTACTCCATCCTATTCCATCGATCGATTTGTCTCCACTCTCCGAAATCGCGCGCTTTAACCCGATTCTCTCATTGCGTCGCCTGGTACGTAGCCGGCCAAACGCCGTCTTCTTTCCATGCCTCGCCTGGCTCTGCCTCCTGGTCCTTCGATGGTCCATAACGTGTAGTTTTTGTACGTTTGTTTCTCTTCAGAAACCGAATCTTCATGCGTGAAACTTTGTGTGCTATTTCCAGTGATCACAACTGACATATTCATGTTAGGAAAGAGTGCAAGAATTTTCCGCGCAAGATTCCTTTAAGTGGTCCCTGTATGACTTGGCTTTACTGGTTATGTGGCATAAAGGCCAACGCTCAAATAGCGGAGACTTTAACTGGGGTGTATGTGGCGCTAAAGGCCCAACGCTCAACAAGCGACGGAGACGCAATGGGTTTCTGGCTGCTTTGTGGAATTTTGGGGTTAAATTAATTGGGTTATGGTAGTTTTCGTCGAATGCCTCCAATTTAATGACAGTGGTCCAACATTTGTTAAGTTTCCTGTCTTGCGTTTCAAGAGGTTTCCTACCTTGAGGTCGATTCGTGAACCCCGTGAGAAACAAAACTAATTTGATGAGATTAGAAAGTAGCTTCCTGTCAGCACTCCAACATGTTGGAGACGAGTTTGACCGGATACGGTACCGTGTGCAGTAGTTGTCGGGGGGTGCAGCGCCACCTACAGCGTTCGTTCATTCTGCATGGTGTGCTGCGTGCACTGCAGCAGGAAAAAAGCAGATGATAGATGTTTTTTCTTCTATGACTTTCATATAAAACATATCTGATGGCTTTCTTTTATTCAGTCGATCATGTACATGCAACAACAGCAGAAGTTCCCCAAATTGGTGTCCAAAATCATGGATTTATTGCTATTACTTCTTGGAGAATCGCCACTGAGGTTGGTGACCACTTTGTTAGAGACTTGCTTTACCGAATTCACTACGGAGCTAAACACTTTACAACTGAAGAATAAGGGGTGAAAGGCTTCATAGAGCTCCTTCATGTTGAACCGTGCTTCAAGGTGTATTAGAAATCTTGGTGGCGTTGAATGGGTGTTCGGCATGCGATGTAATTTCTAATAGTTAAAGCATTATGCGATGGGCTCCATCTCTCAGTATGATCTTTCCTGTGCGTGAATATTCAGTTGCAAGGTATCATCATAGAGTTCCGATGATAAAGTGGGATTAACGTCATTAAGAGGCTCGTGGATTT